AGACTGTTAACCGGATTCTCTATCTTTAATAGGTTTCTGTTCGTTATATTATAGAATAACAAAACAAGATGATTAGAAATCCTTTATTTTTTAACCTAATCGCTCTTTTGATTTTGGAAATATATATATTTTTTATCAATATACTGCTTCTTTTACACACTCCAACCTAATCCAAATGGACTAGTTAAAAAAATAATTAGGACTCATGAAAAAATTGATAATAACACGCAAGAAAAAAATGCCTTCCCATACCCGTATTAGGCACTAATCTATTTTTAACATTTAATTAGTTCGGGTAATTTTTCAAATTACGAATGGAAGCTCGTTTCTTTTTTTTTTCCTGGAATCAGGAAAACTGGGTTTTTTATCCATCCATTTATATTTATTCACTTGACCCAAATTGGAATTCTTTTTTTTTCGATATCAAAATAAGGTTGTACCGATCAGGAAAGCAAAAAAAAATGTTATCTGAATTCTCCCTTGATACGACATGCTATTTTTTCCATTCATTCCTTTCAGGATCAGTCGTGGTCTTACAAACTCTACCGCGGATCTGGACGAATCCTTTTCTTCATACAAATGTGTAAAAGATGCTAGTCGCACTTAAAAGCCGAGTACTCTACCGTTGAGTTAGCAACCCCAAAAAACAAAAAAAGAACGTACTGCAAATATGTAGATACAACCAGAATAAAGAAAAAAATCCAGTCGTGTGTCAGGGATAAATAGATCCATTTATCTATGAGAGAATTATATTTGGTCCATACACTGTTGTCAATATGATTATGAATTTTTCATATAGTGAAAAGAATAGAAAAAATAAATAAATAAAAAAGCTTAACCCCTTGGTTCATTAGTTCATACAATGAATGAAAACTAAGCCAGTTAAGGTAATCTCAAATCTTTTTATACTTTTTAGACCCATTTTTTATGGCCTTTAATTTTTTATGATGAATAAATTATTCATATAATAATATAATATATATATATTTGTTTTATTCAGAATTAATAATATATTATTTTATATACAGTATTATTTTCTATATAACAGTAAAATTTTGTATTTATAAAAAAATTCGAATTTATATAATCTAGATCCCAATTTTTTTTTCATAAATTTGTTTATGATTATAAAACATAGTAGGGTATTTTTTAGTATTCGTACCTTAGGAGGAATACTAAGTAATAAATAGAAATTCTAACAAATCAAAATAAATATGATGGAAGTGAAAGAGGAGGAAAGAGAAGAGTAGATAAAATTTGATATCAAGCTATATACGAGTCTTTCACATCCTCTTTTTTATATTTCATTAATTCAATTTCGTTTTATTAAGACTTAAATTCCGTAAAAATCCCAGCCTTCTTTGAAATATCATGAACTGTTCTTGTTGGTTGAGCTCCTTTTTTAAGAAAATCGAGAATAGCAGGAAGATTTAAAAAAGTTTGATTTGTTATCGGATCATAAAAACCCACCTTGCTAAGATCTCTTCCTTCTCTTCGGGATCGAACATCAATTGCAACGATTCGATAAACGGCTCATTGGGATAGATGTATATGAATAATACCCCCCCCTAGAAACGTATAAGAGGTTTTGGCCTCGTACGGCTCGAGAAAAACAAATTCAATGGGTAGAAGTTCACTTTAACTCTCTGTATAAAATTAAAATAGTAAATTCAAATAAATATTAAATAGAGAAATAAAAACATTAAATAAATTAGCCAGTATTGAAACCCTAAATATTTTTTCCATAAAAAGCATTCATAACATTCGTACTCTCGTAACTCAAGTTAAACAACTCTCAAATATCTCACCGGAGAATCCTTAAGTACTTTTTTTATTGAGTAGTCTCTAGCCCTTTTTTTGTTTGTCTCAGCTTTTAGAATCAATTTTTATTCTTCATTCTGATCTAGTTTTTCAAACAATTGAAAACAGGATTTCCTTGTTTCAGGATTCTTTATCCTTACTTTGAATCTTTAGGTTTAGACATGACTTCGGTGATCTTGAATCGTTTTATTAAAAAAGGGCAGCAACAAGCCCCTTATTTTGTTTATGATTTCTTCTATACAAAGAATCATACAAACGCTTGATTCACGCATGATAGACTTTTTATTCAAAGAATTTTATAATTTTAAGAAAATTTCCTTTTCCATTGTAAAATTGCTTGAAAGGACTTTTTTTTCAATATAAAAAGACTTACGAAGTTGTTCCAACTTATTGATTCGCACTAACCCTAGATCCTTACTCCTGCGAAAGGAATAAAAACTTTCTATTCTCCTCGAGCTCCATCCTGTACTCTTTTTTATATTCCCAAAAAGTGTAGGACTCTTGTAAAATAGAACACAAAATGTCGAGCCAAGAGCACCTATATTCCTATATAAAAAGTGGCGGATGAAAAAATCCACAGCAGATAATGTCCTTCAATTCAAGTCGCACGTTGCTTTCTACCACATCGTTTTAAACGAAGTTTTACCATAACATTCCTCTAGTTTGTGTAATTGATTCAATTATGGAATCATGAATAGTCATAGTTCAGTCAGTATATCATAATCTATACCTTTTCTTTCTCTATGAATGGAATAGTGAATTTACGCGTAAAGGTTCAGTCAGAATTAAAATGAATCCCATATTAGTTTGAATAGAAATCTCTATTTATATAATTTATATATATAAATAGAGATTTTTTTTATTAAAACTCTTAGAATCTATGGTTCTACCTTACTTACCCGCATCACACACAAATTAAAAAAGCAAATAGATTTTTTTGAATTCGGTTGAAATAATGAAAAATTAAGTTTATTCTTCTTTTCATTTCAATATTTTATTCTTAAAAATTTTGGATTTTTAAACAGAAAGATGGTGTACAAAGGCAATAGAAGATTGATTCTGTAATGACTGTACTCTGGGACGGAAGGATTCGAACCTCCGAATAGCGGGACCAAAACCCGTTGCCTTACCGCTTGGCTACGCCCCATTTCGCTTTTTATTCAAGACTACTAAAAGAGTAATATTCCTATTGGTTGTTCGTCAATTCAAAATTAAATATAGATTACATTGGTGCTAGAGTTTTAACACGTGTAGATAGCAAATAAAACTTACTTTATTGATCATTACATAGAATTCAATTAAGATATTGTATGAAAATATTATTTCTTTCATTCTCATAAGAGAATGAAAGGATTTTTGATTGAGTAAGTTCAACAAAGTCTTTTTAGACTATCTTTCTTTATTTTTTCCTTATATAAAAAATATATTAATAACTCAATCAAAATTAAATTATCCACAAGAACACCAATTTTTTTTATGCTTAATATATTTAATTTGATCTGTATTTGTTTTAATTACGCCCTTTTTTCAAGCACTTTTTTAGTCGCCAAATTGCCAGAGGCCTACGCCTTTTTGAATCCAATCATAGATGTTATGCCCGTAATACCTCTTTTCTTTCTTCTCTTAGCCTTTGTTTGGCAAGCCGCTGTAAGTTTTCGATAAAATTCTTAATACTGTCTTAAAAAAATTCACGATTTTTATTCTTCCAACAATTCAAAAGATAAAAAAAAATCTTGACGTATGAACGAACTCTCTATTCAAACATTGCATTTTTTTGGTAGCCATACTAAATCTGGATCATTTATATTTCCTAAATTTTATCCTCTTTTCCCTAAATGAAAGAACCTAATTAGATTCGAGTTCACCAAAAAAATATCTAGATGTTGGTATGCAAATCTGTTTGAATATGAAAGATTCGACTATTATCTTAATTACAAATAACTTTCTGAAACCTTTTTTTTTATTTATTGGTATCAAAATTAGATATTTGATATAAAAATAGAGAATCTATTCTCTTTTTTTTTTTTTTAGTAAGATCTTGGAGATTGTGTAATGCTTACTCTCAAACTTTTTGTATACACTGTAGTTATATTCTTTGTTTCTCTCTTCATATTTGGATTCCTATCTAATGATCCAGGACGTAATCCGGGACGTGAAGAATAAAAAAGAAAGGTTTTTTATTGCTTTATTTAATTAGTGGAAATGCTCGAATTTTATTAGGATTTTATCTATTACACACCATCAAAAGGAGAAGGGGAAAGAGAGGGATTCGAACCCTCGGTACGATTAACTCGTACAATGGATTAGCAATCCAACGCTTTAGTCCACTCAGCCATCTCTCCTAATCGAAAAGGGATACTTAATTAGGTTCCATTAAAAAAAAAAAAAAAGGCTTAAAAAAGAACCTTCTCCGCTTTATTCTTAAAAAGCTTTCTTTTTTTTTTTTAGATATTCTTTATTATATATATATTTTTTCATTTTCTATATTTTATTATATATATATAATTTCTTTTTTATTATATAAATATATTTATCCTCTATTTATATATATAATATATATATATATTACTATATATATAATAACTGTTTTTATAGAACTTTCTCAGTAATTCTAGTTACATTAAAAATTTATCTAAAGATTAGATAAAGAAAAGGCGCAAACTCGAAAGAGAAATAAATAAAACCATAATCATAGAAATAGAGAATCCTTTTTTTATTTTGTCTCGTCAAAACACAAGTAAAAGATCTTTTTTATTTTAATAGCCTGGCCTGGTCAGTCCCCAGCCGGGCCTTTTTTTGTTAAAATTAAAAAGACTCATCCGATGGATTTTTAGACAAAAAAAGATTTGAAATTAAAAAAAAGTGGAATTGAATTCGCTTTTACTAATTTTATTAAGTCCACGCTAGAGTTTTCTAAATTTTTTCAGATTTTTTTATTACACCCCCGATTACTTTGTTCGACAAAAGGTTAATTTATATGCAATAATTGCATTGTAGCGGGTATAGTTTAGTGGTAAAAGTGTGATTCGTTCCTTTAATCCCTTTAATAGTTAAAGGGTCTCTCGGTTTGATTCATCTTCCGATCAAAAATTTTATTTCTTAAAAGGATTTAGTCCTTTCCCTTTCAATGAAAGATTCAAGGAAGATTATAGATTCTCGTAATTTGTATCCAAAGACTCTAATCAATTGTAAATTTGGATTATGAAATTCCGAAACATAATTTTTGAATTGGATGACTATTGACAATTCAATAAGTATAACAAGAGGATCCATGGATAAAGCTAGAAAAGTGTCTTTCTAATCGTAACTCAATCTTCAGTTCTATTCATTGTTTGGTATAGAAAAATTGAAGCAAAATAGCTATTAAACGAGAACTTTGGTTTACTAAAGACATCGACATATTATATTGTTTTAGCTCGGTAGAAACCAAATACTTTTCCTAAGGATTCCGTTAAATAGAAATAAAGAACGAAGTAACTAGAAAGATTGTTCGAGTTCGCCTGATCTATCTTCTAGAAGGATCATCTAGAAAGCAAAAATTTCTGTGAAAGTACCCAGACGGAAAAAAAGCTAACATAGATGTTATGGATCAATTTTTATTTCGTTCCCGTCTTTTTTTATTTGGGAATTTCTCCATCCATCATAAAGGAGCCGAATGAAACCAAAGTTTCATGTTCGGTTTTGAATTAGAGACGTTAAAAATATAAAAATGATCGATCGACGTCGACTAAAACCCCTAGCCTTCCAAGCTAACGATGCGGGTTCGATTCCCGCTACCCGCTCTAAATTCACAATTGCCCCTTTTTTTTATTAGAGACAATTTTCTATATTAGAATTGTCTAATAGCAATTGTGTATTGAATTCACTTCAATACACAATTGCTAAAAAGATTT